ATGTTTCCACGTTGGCCATTGTGTGCAAATATCTTGGTCTTGAACTTTGTGCCATCGAATATACTTATGTGCAATAATCACTATGTACACTTAAATCAATTTGTTAGCAATAAACATAATTTGTTTGTGATAATCAAAACGAGAAATCAACCATAAGTCAACAGATGCAACAACACTAGTAATGGCTACTGAAATTACATGAGGGTTAGCCAACTCCACTGCAATTGCCTCCTCCTTCGCGACGACTACCAGCAGAAGAACTATGCTTCCAATGGTGGCTGGAGGATTGCTGAGGAGAAGACAAAGTATTAATACCAGGCCCCATATTAGCAACTGAAACTGAAGAAGATGAAGACATCGAAGAAATAAGCTCATGAGCTAAAATAAAATTTGGGCAAGTCTTTCTTTTAAGATGTTCAGTGGCGATTCTCGTAGGTTAGAGACGGATAGAAACTTTTTTTATTTTTGGGAAGAAGATGAAGTGGGGTGGAAAATTTTTTTTAACACATAAAAAGTTTGGATTTAATTTGTAAAAAAATAAAAATTTTGGGTACTAAGATTGTAATTAGGGAAAATTGCAGCGACAGTCCCAAACCTTTTCATTTTTTGTAGACTTTGCCCAAACTTTTGTTTTGCACCAGCGGAGGTCCCAAATCTTTCAAAAATATGCATCGGAGGTCCAAATGAATAGATTGACAGTTAGTTGACCTAAAAAGTCAAATTTTAATTAATTTTGACCAAACTGATAAGGGCAAAATTGTCATTTGCATTTTTCTCATATTATGTAAGTTAAAAAAATGAATTAAAATCCCAAAAATAATTTAAAAAACCCACCCCCAACACCACCGTCCCGCCACCACCGATCCCTCAATCGTCGAATTTAGGAAAAGTCTGCAAAGAATGAAAATGTTTGGGACCATCGCTGCAATTTTCCCTTGTAATTATTCATTTTTTAATTTTTTTAATTTTTATTGTTTTAACGGTTAAATTAATGGAATTAAAAAGTAGGGTTTTTTTTGCACAAAAGGTTTCAAACAAAGGGTTTTCTATGTTTTCCAATAGTTATGGGGTATATCGCGATTGAAAACGTTTTTAGGGGATTTTTTTGCTATTAATCCATATGTCAACTTCTTTTAAAGTTCTTCTAACCTGATAAATTACTTCTAAAAAAAATATCCAAACATATTTATGAGCAACTTTTTAATCTTAAAAGTAACTTCTGAATTAGTCTTAACAAACGGCCATGAGAGAGTTTAAAAGATAGAACTAAGGGGTTGTTTGTGTCCCATTTTTTTGAAGATTCATTTTTTCAAAACTCATTTTCGACCACACATTTTTCAATAAAATAATATTACACGTAAATTGAATTTTTTTCTTAATTTTTAATCTCACATTTTCCAAATCACTATTCAAAAATACATTTTTTTTATCTCAAAATGAGGCTCAAACAAGGGCTAAAAAAAGTAGCTATCTTATAAGAAGTACTAATGTGTTATTTTTGTTTTTACAATGGATTGGCCTGGCTCGCACTTTCTATTAGTTTGGGCGAAGTATATGTACTTAATTGAGCCCAATAAATGCAGCATCTTGTACTGTTTGTTCAACTTCCACAAAGACTTATTAGCGCAAAACGTCTACATGTTTGGCTTTTAGTGTGCAAAACATTCTTACATTTCAAATTTTTGCATTTTTACCCATATTTTCACGTTTCATTGCGAAAATCATCTTTTTCATCTATTCTTTCAATTAAAAGCTGTGAAATGACGAAAAGCCCTCATATTTAAATAAAACAAAAAAAGAAAAAAATTAGAATTATAGTCCCAAAATTTTAAAAGATTACAAACGAGTCCCTAATGTATAATTAAAAATCCAACATACTACTAAAACTCGGGCTAACCACCACCCAAACCACCAGAACTCCATACCATTGGATAACCCTCACTCCTCTCTACACATACCACCCAGCCACTAGCCTTAACGTCACTGGATTTGGCCAAAATCGATGGCCAAGATCAGCGACTTGTTAACACAAAAATCGACTACATCACCTTCTCCAGTTAACCACCACATTTGAAACTTAAAAACTGTGGCCAACCACCACCCAAACCACAAAACTTCATACCATTGGACAACCATTATTCTCCTCTACACATACGACCCAGCCACTAGCCCTAACGTCACCAAATTTGACCGGAATCGATGGCCAAAATCAACAACTTGTCAATATAAAAACCGACTACATCACCTTGGCGAGACCCATGCCCTTTCTTTAATACGGGTCGACTATACTTATCAGGTCACACCTATTCTTGGTCTTGCAACATCAATAAATCCACACGATCAAAATTTACAGTCCCATTTTTCTTATCAAGCGAAAATGTAACTTTTAGTCATGATTTTCGGGCAGCCACCACCCTGGATACTAACGAAACTACCCATTCTGGCATCATCTGATCACAACGCAACAATTCTACCTATGGGTCTTCAACAATTCAACCTCCATATAACAGATCGAACATGAATAGTAAGTGTGTGCGAAGAAGATTTTGGCCATCGATTTTAGCCAAATCTTGTGACGTTAGGGCTGGGGGCGGGGTGGTATGTGTAGGGGGGAGTGAGGGCTGTCCAATGGTATGATGTTCCGGTGGTTTGGGTGATGGTTGGCCTGAGTTTTTGGCTTAAGTTGGATTTTTAATTATACATTGGAGAATCATTTGTAATCTTTTAAAATTTTGGGACTATGTTTCTGATTTGTTCTTTATTCCTTCTTTTCTTTTTATTTTATTTAAATATGAGGGCTTTTTAATAATTTCACAGCTTTCAATTGAAAAAATAAATAAAAATGATGATTTTCGCAATGAAACGTGAAAATATGGATGAAAATGCAAAAAATTGAAATGTATAGATGTTTTGCACACTAAAGACTATGAACTTGTTTGAGAGGGATTAAAAAGGGATTAAAATTGAAAAACTAGCCGTTATTGTTGATTTTTATTAGACGAATGAGACCCAATAACGACTATATTTTCAATTTTAATTGGATTAAAATCTCTTCCAAATTCTACTTCCGTTTTGTGCTAATAAGTCCTTCAACAAACTGAAGGCTCCTACTTTCTAAAATCGGTTCGGGTCAAAATTTTCTCGGATCCATACAAAAGCTTGCTCCTTGTGTGTATTGCAGTGTAAGAAATCATTGCCTCTCTTCACTATTTTAACATTTTTTCTGTTATTTGTTCCCATTCACAATTTCTCTGCTATAATTCACGAAGAAAAGGTAAAAAGGGTCTTTATATTATTCTTGGATTCCACGAAGTTTAAATTGTTTATCGCTATGTAATTAGTGGATTAGGGTTTATGCTCACACGCTCTTTTGATGTAATACTACATTTTTGTTGTAAATTTGTATATTAGCTCTATTTTCTAGGTTTTATTTTTCAATATTCTGAAGAATTGTGTTATGGTTTTGTGCTTGAAAAATATATTTGTTTACATTTGGGTACATTGATTGATTTTTAGGGAAAATGATGAAGATTGATTTTAGTGGACTCGCGGCCTCAGCCCCGCTTTGTGGCAACACGGATGAATTGAACAATGAGATTTCGACTGGACAGAAATTTGAACTTCCTATTGCCGATGACGTGATTTTTCTTCTTCTTTTTGTGTTTTGGTAAAATAATAGTAGTTACTTTCTGGTGTTATGCTGTTGTTTTAACTTTTTGAATTTTGTTTTTGCATTGTATTAGTTTGATGGGTTTCAGAGAGAAGCAGTACAGATGGTGAAGCCAGCAAAGGGAACCACAACTCTTGCGTTTATTTTTAAGGAAGGTGTCATGGTGGCTGCTGATTCCCGTGCCAGCATGGGAGGATATATATGTGAGCTTTCTATATTTATCTATCAAGTATTTAATTTTGTTATTTGATAATACCACATCGAGTGATGCATTAGTATGATAGTTTCAAGGAATTCAACATGTAATGAGAACGTTTCTACATATAATTATGCATTTCTTAGCTTAGTAGCATCGACTAGGCTAGTAGTATTTGACAAGAGTCTAAATCAGAAGTGAAACTTTTTACAGGAAGTGCAGGCTCGGAGATGTGCAAAATAACATTTCTACTACATTTTTGGCATGTAAATATTAAGTGCTAAAAGATGTAATCCTGAAAATTAGCTATTTGTCTGTATATGATAAATCTTCCTTGATTTGTTTATATGTGATGTTACAACTATTAGGCAATACGATTGTTATGGATACCTGCTAGCTATTTGTGCCTGCTCCATCTAGCGCCATGGATATAGAAATGGCTGCTTTAGTATGACTATTAAAATGACCACACAGCTTGTTTAGACTTTAAGAGTAAATTAGATTTTATTTCTTTCACCATAGTATTATTCTCGGCTTAGGACTATTTTTTAATTGACTAGACATCTATGAACGGAACAGTATAGATGTTAGGTGTGCTCTTTAGAATCTATTTTGCTACTTGATTAGTTGTGAGCACATGCAAGAGGGACATTTTTGATTGAAGGAATCAGATTTAATGATGAAAGTCGCAATCAAACAGTTTGAAGAGGAGAAAATCCTATTTTCCTGGATCTGGAAGAGTAACTTTCTAGTTCTTTTTCTATCTCATAGAGTAAACTGTAACTTAAAATAAGAAATCTATTATGATAATGCTTATATATTTCCTTACTTTAAACAATATTAACTAGTAGTGCAATTTTTATGGTTTGATAGACTATGGTTGCATGCGTTGATGTTCAGAGATGTAATTGGCATTCAGTTAAATTAAATTGTGAATCTGAGTTTCAAGTATTGATATAGTTTCTTTCTATTTTTCTTTGGTTTATAAAACGAGGTAAATAAGGTGTAAGTTCAATTAACAAGGCTCAGTCATTTTGGCATTCTGTTCTTTTCAGGATACAGTCTAATGCTGTATCTTATAACTTGTAGAATTTTCAATAATATTTATTTTTTCTTTATTTTAAATGGATTTCCAAGTCACAATACCTGTGCCTTATTCATATTAATTGGCATTTGACAGCATCACAATCTGTCAAGAAAATAATTGAAATCAATCCTTACATGCTTGGCACAATGGCTGGAGGAGCTGCTGACTGCCAATTCTGGCACAGAAATCTGGGGATTAAGGTATTTCAGTTGCATTATTGCCTCTAATCTTCATTTTTTCCCCTTATAATAGTCATTCCATCGGAACGCGCATGATGTGGCTCATTGCCCTAGTTGGTCTAATGGAGTATAGGTTAGCATTTCTAGATGAAGCCCTTGTTTGGCACCCATTTTTCAAAACTCATTTTTATTCAAATTCATTTTCAACTGTACATTTCATCAACTTTTATCAATACCTATTGCAAATCTTATTTTTATCGAAACCAAACAGGGGCTAAGACACTTTTATCTATCATGATTATAATTCCTTTAGCATTGAAGTTCTATGACGTGAATGTAGAGTTTTCCTTATGCTATGAACATTATCCTTTTAGTTTATTACGTTTTAAATTTGTAATGTATCTTTTAGCTGTCAAGTTTTGAACATAGAAGAAGGCAAATGAAGAGGGGCGAAAGGGTGGATCCTTAGTATATTTAGAATTTGAAATGCTACCTACTACTTGGGTTTACAGCATCCATTTATTATGAATACCGTTGTTGCGGTTTCCAGGAATGGAATGCAAGAGTTTGTGTCTATATATATGCTGCTATAATTGCATTAATGAATGTATTATGATGCATTCTCCAGTGCCGTTTACATGAATTGGCAAATAAGAGAAGGATTTCTGTGACTGGAGCTTCAAAGTTGCTGGCGAACATTCTGTATTCTTACCGAGGAATGGGTTTGTCTGTTGGAACTATGATAGCTGGCTGGGATGAAACGGTAAAAAGGAGAAATTTAGTATGCCATTGTTCTAACATTGTTAGGCTTCATGTTGTGTATTTGCTATTTGTATTTGTTGTAGGGTCCTGGCCTGTATTATGTGGACAGTGAAGGAGGACGACTTAAAGGAACTAGATTCTCTGTTGGATCTGGTTCACCATATGCTTATGGCGTTTTGGACAGTGGGTACGTACTTCATCTCCTGCGCTTTTCCTAATGTTCTTCATATTACTTCTCTTTTTATTTATTTTGTTACTCCACCCAAGTTTTAGGGCGTGCCTTTTAAGCTATTTTATATCGGTGCTTGTTGCAGCCAAGGTATCGTATCTTTTATTTCCATTGGAAATTTTAATTTCTAAACTTTTTATCTGCAAGCGTTCTCGAATTTCCTACATAACCACTAATTCAATCACTGAATCACCCAATCATTTGTTAATAAGCGCTAAACTACAGATTCTTGCTACAAAAGGGGACTTGTTAACCAAATAAGCCATAAAAATCTTGTGGGGCCACTGGAATCCTCTGGTGGATTAAATTATTGCATATATCTCACAGTAACTAGGGTTAAAAAAACTGGATGTTTTTCCTTGGATTAAGCGAATCACATTAACTTTGTTGCCCTGGTGATTACAAGCTAAATACTTTAGTCTCTTGGAGATAAAGTTCATACTAACTTTTTTATAAATCTTATTCAACCATTCCTGCATATTCATTTAATGTAATCAATTCATAACGTTTGTTGTGCATCTGTATGTTTATGGAGAACCTTGATGTTACCATATATTCTGATAATGCTCGTAATTTTTTAAATTCTTTAGATACCGTTTTGATATGTCTGTTGAAGAAGGTGCTGAGCTGGCTAGACGTGCAATTTATCATGCAACTTTCCGTGATGGAGCCAGTGGTGGTGTTGCCAGCGGTAATGCACCCGACCCCATCCCACATTGTTCTACCTACCTATCCACCCACCCACTCACCCATCCCTTACCCTTCTTTTTTCTCTTCGTATCTATGTGGTTGTGGTAATAAATCATGACGTGGAGGGTGTGTTTTTCAGTTTATCACGTTGGACCAAATGGATGGAAAAAGCTGTCAGGTGACGACGTTGGAGAACTTCACTATATGTACTATCCTGTGGAGCCTGCATCTGTGGAGCAGGAGATGACTGAGGTATCCGGGTCGTGAGAGACTTATAGGAAGTAGCATATTTGACATCAGTCTGTTTTGAAGTACATGTGGTTTAATCTGCAAATACTCCTAAAGTGCATGTTTTACTCGACTATGTACCAGATGCAACAAAACTTTTTTGCTCGGAGCTCTTTGTTACAAATTATGGAATGTCATGTATTATTTATCCAGTTGGCCTCAAATGAATGTTTGTGATAAGATTATGAGCATGTTTGACAGAAAAGTGGGTTTTTTATAAGATTTGGAACCCACAAATTGAATGAACCAAAATGCACACGACCATAGATTCCAAAAGCTTATAAGAAAGCCATTCACGACTCTCTCATTTTGATATCCGATTTTGAGTAATGCAATTCATCAATAGTTGTGATCCTATCTGTTTAGGTGGTAGTGATCTTTCTGATCAAGTAATGAATCATCCCAGTGTGATGTGACGTTAAATGATAATATCAATAAAGTGGGTTTCATGCATACGATTAAGATCATCTTCAATGAGTTCTATTGATTTTGAACAAATTAGTGCAATGTCGGCAAAATATGTACCCTTGTCTACCTTTTATGTCCAGCTTTCTCGTCCTAGGTTGGTAAGAGTAACTTTTTCAAAAAATTTGTTGTAATATGAAGATTAGAATCTTGCTACAAGTACAGAATAATTATACAGATTTTATACAGAATTTTGAAATGGAGGGAATAGATTCAAAGATGGGAAGAGGGAAAATACACGAGGACGGACAGGATGCAGAAAATTCAAAATTCTGTCAAAATTCTGTGAGTTATTCCTGTACTTGAGGAATAATTGTAAAGATTACTACTTCAACACACATACCATGTACTTTCGATTATCTTTGTTGATCTTGTCCAATTATTTCATATGATATTCGAACTCACTTATTGTGTATGCATTGAATTATATTGTTACGTTTTTCCTTTCTTACAATATTTTGTTTTTATGTTCTTCAACATGCGAAACGAACACACCCCAGGAATTGCATTTGGATATGCTATATGAATTGCGTTCTAAAATGCTATTTCACCGGTATGATATTTATGTGCATAAATCTCCATTTTCCCTATTTTCCTTAAACCTAAAAAAGAATTACTCTCAGCCATCATCATTTTCTGAATCCTCGACCCCTAATGTGAGTAGAAGTATGTTATTGTTGACAACTGTTAATAAAATTTCATCATAATGTCTCGTTAACAATAATTATAAAGTTATATATATACACACACACATACATATCTTCTATATATTAAAAGTGGCTATGTAACGGAATTCTTGTTTTTAACTGAAAAATTAACGGAATTTGTTGTTTTAACGGACTATGTAACGAAATTTCTTATTTTAAACAGGCAGCTGCACCTTCTTTCAGTGTTTTTATCATAACTTTGTATTCCGATATCCGATTGAGGTGATTCAAAATGCGTTGGAAAGCTAACTCATCTGGCTACAACTTTGATTCAAACATCATTCTCCAATTCGATCACTTTATATGCCAAAAATAGGTCTCAATATGAGACTAAAACATCGGAGCATAACTTTTCGGTTGGAAATTGATTTGTATCAACTTTTGACTAAATTTGATTCCATTGACGTCTTCCTTTATCCAATTGACTCCGAGCACTCTCAAATCTTCATCGTGAGGTTCGGCACAACTTTTAAGTATTTACATTTTAATCCCCGAACTTTGGATCCCTTACAATTTAGCTCATTCTCCAAATTTGTCAACTTTTGCTTATTTTCTTCGATCTCACCAACTTACATCACAACATCAAAATCACACATCTAATTATTTAACAATTATATAAACATTACATCATTAATTATTTAATTAATCAAAAAAATTACATATTTATTAATAATAAATTAATTATTAAACAAAACTATTAAATATAAATTAGGCAAACGTGCATTGCACGTTGCTTGCACCTAGTATATATATATATATACTTTTGAGCTGTTTGATTACCAATTTTTTCTATGAAAAATATTTTTTTACTTTCAGTCATGTGACCATATTTTCCTTAAAAATAAGGAAAATATTTTCTTTAAGGAAAATTGATTTTTATTTCCAGATAATTCACTCTCTATTTCTCTCTCATCTATCTCTTTCACATCTACTATCAATAAAAAATGAACAAGTATAATATGTTTTAAGGTTGAAAATTAAACCAATCAAATACATTTAATTATCTATCAATAAAAAATGAACAAGTATAATATTTTTTAGGTTGAAAATTAAACCAGTCAAATACATTTAATTAATAATTTTCATACAAATAATTTTTAAATAATTGAATTCTCTAGAATTTATTTTATTTTTATGCAAATTTCACGCCCAGTCAAACGGAACCTTGGTACTGATCGGATCGAACTACTACACTTCATCATTTTCTATCAGACCAGCCGATCCGTTCCGATTTAATCATACTATAGCCCAATTAATGGTGGTTAAATCTTATTGACCGAGGTGGCTATGGGTTTTTGATCCTTGTATGCAACTAAAATTGGGAACAATTAGTGTGAAGGAGAGGGAAAAGGGGGATATAGTTCATCACCCTTTTGACGCCAATTTTGTCTTGTATTGATTTCGCACTCGATTTGATTGTTGTGAATGATTTAATTTCAACACAATCTCGATATAATCCTGCTGAGTCACCATTATCAGCTGCAGGATCAAGTGTTTCCGTTGAAAGGACATTAATCAAGTGATATGGAGGTCAGTATGATGCTCACTGCGCTTTGATTTCCTTGAAATAAGTATATGTAGAGAAACTTGATTGAGTGTTCCTGTTATTTTACCCATCAAAGTTTAATTTGCTATTTTGGCTTACTTTTACATATGTTTTTGAAGTTATTGAATGCATAATCTCATCATATTTTTATGTTCAGGAAAAAGGAGATGGTAGATTTATTGATCCTAACAAAATAACAGAAACTTTAGAATCGGAGGAGACCAGTACTGGCGGTTTGTTTGTACATGGAAAGGACAAAGTACTGTTCAAACCTCCCGAGAGGAAATCACTTCTAGGTATGCTTTCTTATCACTTTCTCTTTTTAAATACTACAGGTCTAATTTCTTTCCATGATTAAGAATTTTGAAGTATTATTCTCGATGTCAATGCCTTGTAGTTTAATTGCTGAATATCTGTGGTCCGACCTAAATGTCAACTATATGAAGTAACGGTGATTGGCGACTGTGGCAATTTCCTCAAAGAATGAGTGGGCGTGGGGGTTGTTAAAAATGGAGAAAGAAGGGTGGTGTAAATGAGAGCTGGAGTACTTAGATTAAGTCTAGCCGTCTAGGCTGCTAGTTCTCACCTCCATTGTCTAAAAAATATGGCATATGATTTGCATGAGTGAAGTTGTCTTTATCCATTCCTTCGGTAGACTGATTTTTGCTTGTGTAGCATGTTTTGTCATTCAGTATCAACCATCAATCCATAATCTAGAAACTTGATATTCTCGGAGTTCCATGATATTTTCTGGCTCCTCATGGTTGAAATTTTTTGCTTTGGTTGTGTCTTTCCTTTTCTTTTTTCATTCGCTTTTTCTCTCTGAAATCTTACGTCCTATCCTCATCCTCTGCTGACTTGCATATATCTTTGGTTATTGGAACAGGGCTTGATGTTCTTTCCAGTACAGAACGTGGAGGATCTAGGGATGAGGGGGCATTCAGGGTTCCTAGAGAAAGAGTTGCATCGGTTGCGGCATCTCTTGATGAAGATGAAGAGAATTCTACTTCTGGACTTGATGAAGAAGGAAATGTTGTCGTATCAAATGGGGCACGCAATTATGTTAATAGGCAGTATCGTGAATCGGCATCAACTCTAGAATCTAATTCAGGCACGTTATTCTGTTTTATTTTGTATAAATACTATACGCAGTAAATGTTGACAGCATATGCTTGTATAGGCAAATAGATCTCAACACGTAAATGGAATTCAAAATTAATGAGTTTGAGCTAGTCACCACATGGTAGAGTTATATGCTTAAGAGTAATGTTTTTTACCATTGTGATTTACTTCTCTTTTTGATGATTTCTTCGATGCATTTGCAGAGAGTGCTGTAATCAACAAACACAAAACGAAAGACCCAACCCTGCAGCATCAAAAGGATACGTATATGCAGGTACTAGTAATTTCCTTGTGGTCTTCCCTAGCATGTTCCTTCATGTTGTTGTGATAACTGATAAGTTATAAGCATTTGGAATGGTAACTTTATAGCCTCATTATTATTTCTTGTTTATGAATTGGTTCAAGACAAGCGATTGTAATTTTCCGTTAATCTGTTTTAGATGTCTATGCAAGCAAATTAGATCCTTGTACGTAGCTTTAAATTTTCTGGCTAAAGTTAATGAAATTTTCAAACCCATGGAAAATGCGTCCCATGGGATTGGCAGTAATTTGATCATATGCATGAGTAATTCCTAATTGTCGACCTTGTCATGTAATTTCAGGTTCCAAGTGCATCTACTGTAAGCTCAAGATCAAGGAGTCCTAGTTCTGACAATACTGACCATTATAGGAGCAGAAGCAAATATAAGGAAGACTACAGAAGTTCAAGTAGAGAAACAAGGAGAAGTGGAACTTACAGGGAAGAGCGGACTCCTAGAGAATCATCACCTGGTTATGAGAAGGAGCGCAGTGTAGACTATGAAAGAAAAAGGAGTAGATATGATAGTTCTAGGACACCTGGTATGTTTTATATTTTCTTTGTAAAGTTCTTTTGTTGTTTACTCCTTTTAGTGGAATTTCGCTCAAAATAAAAGTTACAATTCAAAATTCTATCAAATAATTGTTGCAAAGTCTGCTTTGTTTTTGTGTTCTTGCATAGAAGAAGAGTGGTTTTGCTTGCCAGATTCCCGCTGATTTTTCTTTGTTGCAATGCATATTGTAATCATATTGAATCTTTGCCTACACCCCAGGTAGATCAAGCTGGGATGATGGGCGATGGGAGTGGGAAGATACCCCAAGACGTGATGGTCGCGTTTCTA